CTACCTTTGTTCAATTTTTATTTTTATTTTGGAAAAAAAATTGAAGAGAAAGATAAAAAAAAAAAAGATAACAAAAAAAACCCACAGACGCAGACCCATTCACTCCCCCCATCCCCTCTGTTATTTCTCTGCCGTGGCCTGAAGAAAAAAGATAACAAAAAAACTCCACTGTAATAATGTATTTGCCCTCTTTTGTAATAGTTGACCACTGCTAGGAAAGAAGAATAAGGGGAGAGAGAGAGAGGATAGGGAAATGCGGAAAAAAAAAAAGAGAAACGGAGAGAGAAGAGATAAGGAATAAAGGGAAAGGGCAGATTCTTGAAGCTGAAGTCTGGGGCTTTTTTATTGGGCTTCAGCTGGCTATTGACAAGGGTATTAGCGAGCTCATTGTTGAAATGGATGCTGCCACATCTGTCCAGCTTGTGCAGAAACAAGAGGAAGAAAAGCAAGAGAGAAAGAAGAAGAAAAAAGAGAGAGATAGAAGGAAAGGAAATAAAAAAAGAAAGGGGAGAAGAAGAAAAAAGAAAAAAAAATCCAATCTGAAGCGTTGAAATCATCCCACGGTCAAAAACAGAAATCCGTAACCAGTCTGCATCTTCTCACTTCGCAATGGAGAAGTTCCCATATATATATCGCATTCATAGTTAAAATTGAAGAAGAAGAAAAAAATACAAAACAAGAAAACTCCATAAGATTTTGGAAACGTAATCTTTATTTTTGATACTATCCTTTTTTACTTGGGACTCTAATCTCTTCTTCTTTCTCACGCATACCCCTCTCTCTCTCTCTCTTTCCTGCGACAAAAAAAAACCTCCACCTCCATCTTTTTTCCTTGTAGGCTCAATTGTAACCAGTCCGCATCTTCTGACTTCGCAATGGAGAAGTTCCCTATACATGTGTATGTACTGTGCTGAATATCTCTTTTTTGGTTTTATTAGTAAAGGGCTGAGGTTACTCAGGCACAGGTATTTTTGGGACATAGTGTGGTTTCTATGTTTGGTTTTTTTAGCAGAAAATTATTCTCCATGTATACGAGATATCCCTTCTGGATGAGCTAACCGATGCTTAAAATATTGCTCTTCATTCTTTGTATATAGTAAACATCACAGGCGTATTCTTTTACCATCCTTCTGAATGATCTTTGTTAAATGGATCATACCACCACTGTGAGCCGAGCCTAGTGGCCATTTCATGGCTGGGTTGCCCTTATACTGACCCGATCAGATATGATGGCCCGGGTATATAAAAGGCCTCCTAGCCAAGGTCTGACGGGACAAAGTGCGAATAAGTGCTTGGACATTCAAACATCGACTTGACCACCGTGGTGCCGTGTATGACCAGATGTGCATTAATGATGTACATGCGTGTTTAGACCCCTGTCAAGTCAGTCATTCCATTTGTCTGATCATCAACTTGGCAATGAAGAGGGATAATTTAATGTGACTCTCATCCAAAACCACGTGTCGCTTTGCCACATGATCCCTGTCAGATAGCATGGTGATTAGAATAGGCCATTTAATGTAATCCAGTCCCACTAGGGGGAAGGAAGATAAATATCTCCTCCTTTAAGTATCTTTGTCCCTCCTTCTCCCATTATAAATACCTCTCACCTATTTGTGGACAAAGGTAATAAATATTCTCACTTGATAAACACTACATCCTTTTCTCCATCCCTAAATAGCATCTGAGTTAGCCATCGGAGGGGGCTCAACTGGGATCAACCCTAGTTCGCTCATACTTTGATAACTGCTTAAAGTGTGCAGGTCTCCTCCTGAAGGCATTATTACCGGAAGATAAGATGTAGGCCCTGACCTTGAGTCAGGTCCTGGCTATATACTATATGAGAAGGATACGCGGTTTACAATCTTGATTTTTCCTTTTCCTTCAATTGTAACATTTGACATTCTTCTTTCCTCTAATATATGTGTTTCTCCTTTCCTAGATGCACCACGATTATAAAAAAAACCTCTTCCTAGGCCTCGACCATGTCCACGACCACCTTTTGGTTTGGCAAATTCAGCTTTGACTCAAAAGCTTGCTTTAACGATGTGGGACATGCATTTTGAATGCGCGTTGTTCATAAAATCGGAGGGATCAGAGCAGCTCCTTTGCACTTACATTGTCCAGTCCTTTGATACTGATCACTCACATAAGATGGGTTTAAAAATTGTAAGCGAGTTGGTAGGGGGAAAAATGTGGTTTCCTTGCTCATGCAGACAATATAAATTTCCTACGTTATCTTGTTACACAAGAGTGGATGGATTTTAGCAATCATACTCAACATATTGACAGAGTGGTGGTGCAATCACCACAATATGTTACAAAAAATTGGATTAGACTTACAATCACAATAGAGGCCATTAGATATCTAGCAAATCAAGAAATGACTTTAAGAGCTAGTAAATAAATTGAGTTTATAAAACTTTTAAAAAAAATGAATGTAGAAGTTGAAAAAGTAGTTTTAGAGAATGCTCCTTGTGGGAACATGAATTTTAGCAACCAATTAGAAGGTGACACGTGGATAAAGGAATATTCTATATGTCAAATAATTGTCCTAATTAAATCCTATTTAATTAGCCAATTATCCTTAATTTAAGATTTGAATATCTCCAAAAAATCAAGGATTCGATTCCTAGCAAATCTTCTTGATATTATCCTTGGTGCCACACTCACAGTCACAAATAATATGACTACCTAAAGGGCCTTATTTATAGTGCATAAGTCCTAGGGTTAGATGACTACCTAAAGGGCCTTTTATCAAAGAAAAACTTCACTAGATAAACCTCAATAGTACAATTAAAGACATCAACATGACGTCTAAAGTACTAATCTCAAGAGGGCAACAAAATAACATATTAAAAAAAAAGAAAAAAGAAACTAAACCGGACAAAAGGGGCACTAAAATATTAGCTCACATCACTACAATTAACCATAAGCCCAAACAAAGCTTACATACCCAACATAACTGAAACATTAAAGCAACCCATGAGCCTAACCGCTGCCACCTGAAGAAGCACCATTGCAGCCACACCTACCACCACATTCGCAATAGATGTGGGCAGAACATGAATTCCAGCGATCTACGTGTGCATAAGAGTGAACAAATAAATGAAAACAACTACCTTAACAAAGAATAATTGGGTGATTTGCATCAACTTTCATCGAAAACGATGTAGATCCAAATTTAGAGAACATGAGCAGTGTTAGAGAGCAAATTTGTTTGAGAACGCCTAAAAAAGGTGATTGAGAACTTCAATATGAGAATAGCTTAGAAGAAATCACCACAAATGGACTTATTCACTAACCTAATAAAAAAAGGACTAGGAGAAAACAATAACTCCTTGCTTACATCATTGTGTTGATGACCGAAGAAATTTCTTTTAATTGTTGTCTCCACATGTCATGCAAGAAGGAAAAACAAAAAGGAACCTTATATTAAAATTAGCAAAGGGCCCAAGACTGGGCTTTTATGAGTATCAGCCTTGCTCATTAGGGGGTTGGGCTTTGATTGAGTTAGACCTTTTCTTTCTTTTTCTATTTTGTTTGTTTGTCAAGAAACATAAGCTTGAAAATCGGTCCATTTTGTTTTCTGCTCCTCTCTACTAAATGGTTCCTAAAGATTTATTTCAAGCCTAATGAGTGTTCTAAAGTTGCCAACGGGGTCTAGCCCAGTAAAATGACTTTGAGTTGTAGACAAGGGGTCTCAAGTGCCCATGACACCATAGTTATGTGTGTGTTTGAAAAATCCCCCTCCGTTGCAGTTTAGACTCTAAAGTTCCTCAATAAAATTCTAATACCTTGGATATGTTTTTGTTGAATTTAGCTCACCAAAAGATGCAAGGAAGAAGAAGGAAGCAAGCAGAAAGCAGCAGGAAGAGTTGCTGCAGTGTTGCTGGCGCTCAGGAGGACGCATGAGGCACTTGAGGTGACGCAGAAGGCACTCGAGAGGTAGAGAGACATTTTTTGCCCAGACACGGGAGCTCGAGCGGAATTAAAGGGTGCTCGAGCGATAGTCATGCAACCTGCGCGAACCATTAGAGTTTTAGGTTGGGTTTTCCTATTATTTTTGGTTTTCTAGCCTAATTTAATATGGTTTTGGTTTCTTATTCCTAAGTTAACTTGTAACCCAAGTCCTATACATTATAAATAAGACTTTTAGGGCTAGGTTAATGGGAAGAGAGGTAGACGAGAGAAAACTCAAGATTGAGAGTTTTCCAAGAGAATTCAAGAGGGTGAATTCTTGGGTGTTTACAAGGGCATCAGAGGATTTGAGCAAGGGTGATTGAAAACAGAGCTAGGGTTATTGTGAGAGCTAAGAGGGTTCTTGATTGTAACCAAAAGTGTTCTTACGTACTAGTGAATTTCTTGGGAGGATCACTAAGAGGACGTAGGCACGAGGCCAAACCACTATAAATCTTTGTGTTACAAGTGTTTGCTTTACTCTCTTCATTGTGTGTGTGATTTATTCTCAAGGAGTTTGTGTGTGTGTCGTCGCATAGGCATCAACGAGAAAGTCTTAGAGTGTTTGTGCACAACAGTGTGCAGCCGGCTGCCAGCGGCTGATTTCTATATTATATTACGCTATTTTCTAATTCTTTATTAGAGTATAAAACAGTTGCTAGAGCCTAGAGCCATTTCATTTTCTAGGGCTTTGGATGAGTTGTTAGCAAGGTATGACAATTATGAACACTACCATACAACTGATGAAGCAATAATATCATAGCTTATGACAGTTGATGCTAAGAATATAAACAAACATTAAGAAAAGAAAATAGATTCATAGCTTAGAGAAACTTCCAAGTTACCCATTAAAAAAAGAAATATAAAGAAACAGAAACTGATTAATCTTAGGTAAGCAACTCTTAATTATTGATTGCCGGAAAGAAATGCCGACCAGGTTGAGAGAATATTCCCATCAGGAAAAAGACATGGCTCTACATCCTGTGTTATACATAGATGTAAAATGCCTGCTATAATCTGAACTCACCTTTACTTTCCTCATGGAGCTTCAATGGCCTTCTTTCCAGGTCCTGTTTACTTTTTCTCTATTTATGATTATGGCACTGAAAATAGTGAAGAGAGGCAAAACCAAAGACTCCGCTATAAATCTACCTCCAGGGCCATGGAAGCTACCTTTTATAGGAAACATACACCAGCTCGTTGGCTCTCAACCCCATCGTGCACTACGAAGCTTGGCGAACAGATATGGACCGCTCATGCATCTAAGGCTGGGAGAAGTTTCGACCATAGTTGTTTCGTCGGCGGAGTATGCTAAAGAAGTGATGAAAACCCATGATGTTATGTTTGCATCAAGGCCCCCTCTCCTTGCTTCAACGATCATGTCTTATGGTTCTACAAACATTGGCTTTGCTCCATATGGTGATTACTGGCGACAACTACGAAAAATTTGCACACTAGAGCTTTTAAGCCCAAAGCGTGTTCAAGGGTTCCGGCCTATTAGAGAAGAAGAGGCAATGAATCTCATGGAATGGATTGCTTTGAGAGAAGGATCACCTATTAATCTCACTGAGGAAATTTACTCATCCACATATACTGTCACTTCCAGAGCAGCCTTTGGTAAAAAAAACAAAGATCATGAAAAATTCATATATGCTGTAAAGGAATCTATAAAGGTGGCAGCAGGCTTTGATCTTGCAGATGTTTTTCCTTCTGTCAAACTGCTTAATCTGATAGGTGGAATTAGGCCTAAACTTGAGAGGCTACATAAAGAAACTGACAGGATAATGGAAAACATCATCAAAGAACATAAAAAAGATAGAGCAACATCAGAAAGTGGTGAAGGTAAAGCAGAGGAAGACCTGGTAGATGTTCTCCTAAAATTTCACGAGCGTGGCAATGGCTTTGAGTTTTCCCTAACTACTGACAACATCAAAGCTGTAATCTTGGTAAGTATATGCACTTTCTTTTCATATCATGCTTTAATAAGTTAAACCAGTTTTCAACTATACTTCAGTCAAACAATAAATTTCCATCTTTCGCTGTTTTGGGATCCCAAAAATCATATCCCGAAACACCTTTCTCAACACCAAACAATGCACACTTCCTTGACTTGACAGCTAATTTGGTCTTCTCATCTCTAAGTATGGCACCTAATAAGCATAACAATCAGAAATCTGTAAAATAAAAATGTTAGCAATGATGCCAGCAAAATATGGCTTGCTTTTTCCCATCGATTTGACCTCTACGTACACTAAAATTGGATCATAATCTTGATAGAGTTATATAACAGAAAAAGTTGCCAACGCCAATTTGGATTTGAATTGTACATTATTAACTTGAAGTGTTGATTGACACCCTGAGGTCTGTTTTTATTATGTGTGATTGACTGAAGTGAGCATTCCACATGTGTCTATTGTTTTCGTCCATGTCAACAGACAATCTTCATGAAACTTAAGAAACTCATAAAGCCTAAAAGTCAACATCATAACATTAACTTGTAAGTCTACTTGGGTTAAGAACAAAGGTTTTTTCTTTAATAAAGATGATAAATATAGTTTATTTTTTTCTTTAATTAGAATGGTTTGCAGTTTGTAGAAGAAATTAGTCTTTAGTATTTTAACTAATTAATCATTTTCAGGACATTTTTGGTGCTGGGAGTGAGACATCAGCTACAGCTGTAGATTGGGCAATGTCAGAAATGATAAAGAATCCCAGAATAATGAAAATAGCACAGGATGAGGTGAGGGAAGTGTTCAATACAAAAGGTCAGGTAGATGAAACAGGCATTAGAGAGATGAAATATTTAAACTCAGTGATTAAAGAGACCCTGAGGTTACATCCTCCTGCTCCCCTCTTACTTCCAAGAGAATGCAGAGAAAGTTGTGAGATTAATGGATATGAAATACCTGTCAGAACCAAGGTCATTGTCAATGGATGGGCAATTGGTAGAGATCCCAATTACTGGACTGAACCTGAGATATTTTACCCAGAGAGGTTCCTTGATAGCGCCATTGACTACAAGGGAACGAACTTTGAGTATATCCCATTTGGTTCTGGAAGGAGAATATGCCCTGGCATATCATATGGCCTGGCCAACGTTGAGCTCCCGCTTGCATTTTTGTTATACCATTTTGATTGGAAACTCCCAAATGGAAAAAATCATGAAGATCTGGACATGACCGAGGCTTTTGGTATTACAGTCCGAAGGAAAGAAGATCTGCACTTGATTCCCATTCCTTATCATCCTCCGCCTACTGAAAAATCGCATGAATAAAACAAAGTAAAGTCTGTTTGTTTATGTTATCCCATGCTATAAGGATTACAATGCGTTGTAGTCGCATTATAGCAATCAAAGAATTGAGAACCATATCAATTCATCTACTATAATCATGAGCAAATTTGAAGAGCTGCATATATACATTTTAGTCCTGGATTTGAAAACACAGGGTCTTTTTGCTGATTTCCTGATGTTTAACTAAATTATAGTCCATAGAACAGAGAGTAATGGACCGGACCGAACCACCAAAATCATTATGCTGTGCTCCACGTCTACAAGCAGTAATGCTATGAGCTCCAAATTATTTTTGGTCAAATGAAATGGCTTTTCTCTTCTCCGATATAGAAACCAAAAAATTAAAAAATTAAAAAAAAAAAAACCCAGAAGCCCTCGGTACCTAAAACGATCAAAAAGTCAACATGTAGGAATAGGGAGAGATCGAAAGATAACCCTATAAGTAACACGCCGGAATCCACCAAAGAAATTAAGAAAACCTCAAATATATTGATTGAAAATAAGATGAATAATTCAGAATGCTCCAACACATTCCTTTTATACAAGAGAAACCCTAGACTTGCTATGAAAGTTAATTAGAAAACAAAAAGGAAAATAATAAAAGTTTCCCAAAATATTCTAAAACTTTAAATGCTGAAAAGCCATAGTAAATGATAGAATTTGGCTAAAATAGCCCATACTTCACAACGAAATAGTGAGTTATACTTGTCAAGCCATTCTCTTCGAAACAATAGGTCATGTGCCCAATTCTGAGCTTGAGGCCCATACTTGCACAAATTGGGCTTTTCTGCCACGACGACGTTGCGAGCCTATCTAGATGTCCCTCAATCAATTTGGTCATGTGTTCTACATCAGTCCCTTCCACTTTGGAAGAACTCAACCCTGAGTTATGTTCTGGATAGAGCGGATTATCTTCATAGAATGCATATAGGTCAGCAACATTAAAAGTGCTTGAAATCTCCATGGATGAGGGTTCTAGGAAGAGTAGAAGGATATTTGAGAATATAAAGGGTGAGAAGATGGATTATCTGTGGTAGATGGTTCGCTTTCGGGCATCTCCATGGACTTCTATCTCTTCAAATTTTTGGGATAATCTTTATCTGCCATATTTTCATATTGGATGGTTCTTTGTTCCAATATCTTGTCCATTTTTTATAATATTTATTTCTCTTGAGATATTTGACCATTTGTTTTAATGACAGTTGGACCTAGATTTTTGCCTTATGGAAGATTGTTGTTGTTGAGAACCTTCATCAATTTGGCTTTTTTGTATTTTCACATAATTTTAAAATTTCAGTATGTGGGGTGTGTAGAAACTGTCTTTTACATGAAATCAGAAAAGGAATTGAATTCAAATGAGCCTTCTTTGTATGTTCAACTTGGTTATGGGTTGGTTATTACTTATTAGGATGCAATCTGATGAGAATGAGCTGTGTAGCTTTTCTTTCTAGTCTCAGAATACAGCAAATTGGTCTATCCAGTCTTTCTTGTGCATAATATATGTTTAGAGTTCTAAATTTGTATTATCTTGAACTGGATACTCATCTTCCTTGTTGATGGCTGGCACTTCCTGAATTTCAGTGATCAATGCCTAAGATGTTAGATTTTTTTTTTCTTCAGGTTATGACAAGCATAGTCGTTGGTATTTTTTATTGGACTTGGATTATGCTTAGCAATTTACTGCTGTAGGGAGATAGATGTGAAGTTCAACCAGGTTCTGCAGATGGTGTTGATTGCAAATGAAGCTGACTCAGTTCCAACAACGATATTGGTTTCTGTTTTGAAATTGATTTCAGTTGTGATTGAATGTTATGTTTTTGTTTCCCTTGTGGTTGCATGATTTGCTTCTAACATGCATTTTTTATCCGTTTTATATAGATGGAAGAATGTCTTGTTTCAAGTTGCGGCATTCTTTTGGGGAAGAAAAGCATAAATTCGGGTGTAAGAGGAGATGTCCTGAAATTTTGCTAATAGATATAAAATGTGTTAAAACCAAGAGGAGATATAAATTTTTGGTTTTTTGCCACTTACTTCTGTATATCTTAAGATGTAATGAGATAATATTGTTAGTTCATCAATTTATGAAAGTCAAGTTAAAAGGAAATTTGTCAACCTCTAGTTTTCATAGTTTCATTGTTTCCCCTTACAAAGAAGAAAAAAAATACAAATGTAACCAAATTAGTGATTTAATTGGCAAATGTCATGACAAATATGTATTGCATATGTATAGCCCTTTATTGCTTGTGTATTGCTACTGTATTGCCCCCGTATATCTGTTTTTTCAAGTATGTTTGAATAAATTTATAAGGGAGTATGGAATTTGTGTATTGCCATTATATAGCCCTTTATTGCTTTTGTATTGCTATTGTATTGCTTCTGTATATCCACTTCTTCTTCTTTTTTCAAGTCTGTGTTGGAATAAATTTATAGAGGGAGTATGTAGTTTGTGTATTGCCATTCTATAGCCCTTTATCGCTTTCGTATTGTTATTGTATTGTTTTCGTATATATATATATTTTTTTTTTCAAGTCTGTTTTGGAATAAATTTATAGGGGAAGTATGGAGTTTGTATATTGCCATTGTATAGCCCTTTATTGCTTGTGTATTACTACTATATTTCCCTCGTATATCCTCTTTTTTCAAGTCTATGTTGGAATAAATTTATAAGGGAAGTATGGAGTTTGTGTATTGCCATTGTATAGATCTTTATTGCTATTATATTGCTTCCATAGTAGGGAAATTGGAAAATTGGCGGTATATGGGTTTAAGAATTTGATTTCATCAGGGACGTCATGTCCTTTTTTGAGAAAACACGTTATATATATATTCAGTGTATTGTTTGTATATTGCTTGTTCATTGTCTCTGTATAGCCATTCAGTGCCTTTTATTGCCATTGTATTGTATTTTTATTGTCAATTTATAGCTTGTCATTTTTTGGGGAAAAATTAATATAAAGTCTTCAATTTTTACTGTATAGGGGTGTAAGGATGTAATTCAATCAAGGCCTCATATATATAGTATTGTCCCTGTATATGGTATTGCGTAGGTATTGCCCCCATCAGCTGAACGATAACCAGTCATGACCTCTCTCTGATGTCAGGCTCGCAAGAGAATTTCATAGAAGCTCAATTCCTCACCTTCACGAAGATAGAGATCCGCTTGTCTTATTTGCAATTCATTTGCAACCTTCACGACGATAGAGGTCCACTTGCCTTATTTGCCACAATACAATGCAATACAAAGACAATTGTGGGCAATACAGTGGCAATACTAAAGCAATAGCCAAAACTAAAGTAATAGGAGGCTATACAGTGACAATACAAAAACTCCAATAGTCCATCTTAATGTTCTCTCTTCAATGTATAATATAAGTAAAAGTATTTTCCATTGTACGCACTTGCGAATACATAAAAAGAACAGATTCAAGTAAATTGAAAACAATTTCATTGAATGATGGCTAAAATATATAGTTCCTCAATTACATGTACTTTTCCTTATAATTACAATACACTTCATGTAACTAAATGGAATGTTCTCCCACGCCAAATTGATGATGGTTCTCAATGACAACAATCTTCCAGAAGCCAAAAATCTAGGTCAAAACTGTCATGATAAAAAATAAAAAAAAATGAACCCTGCAAGTCAGCCCTGTAAAAGAGATAGCAAAACAAGAAACTAGCAAAATGGAGAAACAAATACCAAAAAAAAATAAATAAATAAATAAAAAAATAATTGAAACTTAGATAGGAGAACTGCAATAAAAAACTAAAAGACCGAAGAAACTCAGACTAATTGGCAAAGAGCTTCCTAACCTAGAACACCAACAAGAGAAAATCGCAAAAAGTGGAACACATAAAGCACAAAGAAATTGTCAAACAAAATAAGAGGCACAGAATCAGACATCAAAACACCTCAAAGGGTGAACTTAATCAATATAACCAAACAACATCCATAACAGCCATACAAAACCAGATACAGCTACAACATCCATAACAGTAATACACAGAACAATGAAACTAAAAAAACAATTGCATTTCCAATTCGATAAGATTGAAGAAAAGTAACTATCATTGTACAAAGTGATATTACCGAAACATGATTAGGAACAAAAAAAAAACCATTAAAAAAATCATCAGATAGTGGTTTGGCCAAAAAATGGGGCAATGTGGAACTGTTTGACTCAAGAAGCTCCACATGTAATTTATAAGCTTCCTAAAGAAGGCAATAGTGAACAGAACACCCAAAATTTTCTAAAGCAGTACATATCAGGGGAGGTCTATTTAATGCTCTTGCAATACTTCAAATTTTGGTCAAGCATCTCATGAAGATGCCTATTTTCAGCTTTCCCATGTTCTGATAAATTACAAAATCAATCACAACAAGACCTATTTGCATCCATATCAGGTTTCGATAAGGCAAATGCAACAATTTCGAATTCAAAATTCATACACTTCATATAAAGAATTTCAGCAGAAAACATATCCGAAAGCATATTAAGAATCACTATATCAATACTCAACAAAAACCCACATGATACGAACTGAAAAATACAAAAGACTAGCATACCTCAACCATTAGAGAAAACCACAATTTCACATCTCAAAACACTAGCATACTTCAACCATTAGCAACACTAAACAAACCCCACCAAAAACTCCAAGAGCTCGTTAGTCAGAAAAATAAAATTAACTCCCTTTCGCAAGGCCCAAAACACTATTAACGAAATTCATATTTTGTCACACTGAAAATTCTATATCAGCACCACTCAAATTCCCATTTAGAAACACCAGAATTAAGAAAATAAAGCATAACACTCCATACGCATGTATACATATATATATATATATATAGAGAGAGAGAGAGAGAGAGAGAGAGAGAGAGAGAGAGAGAGAGAGATCTCTGGGAAATCCGGCAAAATGGAGCCCATGAATACCCCGCCAGCAGAGTCTCCGGCAAAATGAGAATGCAGACAGCATGGCCA